TATAACACACTATATAACACGTTAAAGTTTAATAACATATAACATACTTTTTTTTTGTTAAATATCAAGGTTTGTATGATTGACAATGATATTTTCTTGTATTAAAAGACAAGGTTACAGGAAGTTTGGTAATGTTGTATTTATTTATAAACCAGAACACAACTGACTTGAATTTATCGTCTTATTTCACGTTACAGGAAGGTTGGTAATGTTGTATTTATTTATAAACCAGAACACAACTGACTTGAATTTATCGTCTTTTTGCAGGTTATAGGTAGGTTGATAATGTTGTATTTATTTATAAACCAGAACACAACTGACTTGAATTTATCGTCTTATTGCAGGTTACAGGAAGTTTGGTAATGTTGTATTTATTTATAAACCAGAACACAACTGACTTGAATTTATCGTCTTATTGCAGGTGGTTTGGTTTACTGCCCTTTTCCCATACGTTGTTCTTTTCATCCTGTTGATTCGTGGACTGACCCTTCCCGGAGCGGTCGAAGGCATCAAATTCTACTTGACCCCAGACTTTGCTGCTTTAAAGAAAGCCAACGTAAGTTCGAGGGTTAAGGTCAGAAGTCAAACATTCTTTGTTGATATTTTGCATCTCATCCTCAAGACACCAAGTCGTGTATTATTAAACGTTTATGTATCGTTGATGTCTTCGGACAAACAGTTGGAATCTGATGACGTCACAACACATGGGAGACGAACGTAATTGACTTAAATGAACGCTTTAATTGAAGATACTGAATAATGGATGAGGAGTGCTGAATGAAAAACTATTGCTACCCATATTCACTAACAGCTCATCAAAGAAGTTATTTATATAGATCCCAACGAACAAGTAACCCAGCAAATAACACAGCTAATTTAAAATTACGATCCAACTAGGTGTATTTAATGATCTAAAACAAGAACTTATAACGATTACAGTATTTCTTAATCAGGTTGGGTACTTTCGCCTTTATTCATATTTTCCACTGAAAACGGTTCAGTACTTTATATTAAAACAACTTTTGAATATACAAATCAAGAGGTCACGTGACAACCACAGCCAATACACTCGCAGTGGAACTACATTTTGACATCGTTTTGGCCAAAAGTGGATAGGGTGATACCACCAAAAATCATTTGTTTTTGGGAAGGGTATGTAACAACCATTTCCGACAAAACATATTCATACACTTGGATGATAAACATGTGTTCAGATTGAGTATTTAACATTTCCCTCGTGCTTAATAATATAGGAAAGCAAAAGAATGTGGATCAACTAGAGGTACCGTGCCCATCCAGAAAGAGGCCTACAACAAGTCTTACCAAAGTCATGAGAACATAAATGTCAGTGGCAAAATCCATCCACTTGTTCAGAAACACTGTGCAACATAATCAAGAAGGATCTTCTGGAAGGGAGACCAACAGAGTATGGGTTGACCAAAATAAGGTCATACGTCCTCTTCAACCATGGCACACTACAATCAGCTGAATAATTAAATGGGTATTCAGATAATTCCATATGAAGATTGACCAGTCGAGTTACTTGGTGCAGCGACTATGGATTTCTGTGCAATCAGACTATTGAAATGGGCACTGAGAATCCGTCATCCTCGTATAGTAGATGGATTAAGGAAACCATGCAATGAGGAGTGTTGTGTTTTGAACATGACAGCCTTACAACGGAGCTTCATACAGTGGAAACTACGCTGCAGGACTATTGCCACAATACACGGTCATCAAATACAGCATGACAGATATCGTGACATAGATTATAACGACGTGGTGAGTCTCCAAAATCGCTTTAATATAACGTACTCAACTTTCTGTAATCCCAATAATATCTCACGAGGTTCAGCCAGCATTGGAGATTTAGGTTAGTCAAAAATGTACATACTAAGCTAAAAATGCAAAATAATCCTCGCAATAATAAAATACCATAAATAAATGAAAAAAATTATAAATATATATATATATACACACACACCAAAAATTTTAACAAATACTGTTAATGGTCGAGATTTTGTATACTCCCTAAATCAGCAGTTTAGATATTGTTATCAGTTTCTTTCTTTGTTTTGGAGCAAAGCCACATTGAGCTGTCTGCTGTGCCCACCGCGAGAAATCAAACCTCGGATTTTAGTGTTGTAAGTTTGTACATTTTCCGCTGTCCCATGGTTATCGTGATTTAAGTTCGCGGTTTTATGTCTAAAGGTTCATTACAAGCTAATGATTACGATGTTAAGATATACACCTGACATCAAAAGATGGGATAGGCGTGGCCCAGTGCTTAACATGCCGGATTTTAGAGATGAAGTTCCATGATTCGCGTCCTGTTTCCTTGGAACCTTGGGTGCATTATAGGAGAGATTAAATCGTATTATTCGACGAGTTAAGGTAGCCCAATAGTTGGTTGAGGTTGGTTGTTTCCTTGGAACCTTGGGTGCATTATAGGAGAGATTAAATCGTATTATTCGACGAGTTAAGGTAGCCCAATAGTTGGTTGAGGTTGACTAGGGACGGCTATATATAGACGGCTCTCGTGTAACAAACAAACAATCACTAAATGTAATTATGTTTTTGCATTTTTTCTAGGTTTGGGTTGATGCAGCCACTCAAGTTATGTTCTCCTTAGGCCCCGGATTTGGTGTTCTTCTGGCGTATGCTAGTTACAATGAGTTCCACAACAACGTCTACAGGTATGGAATTTACAGCCTGAATTAAACCACGGAAATTAACCAAAAAAAAAAAGTAAAACTTTAATTCTATAAAAGAAAGGTTGGAAGACTGACAACAGCCTGCCATATTTAATCTTGACATTCGACAAAAATTTGAAACCGTTTTATAAACACTTTGGTGTTGTAATATACATTTTACCTTTTTTTTTAACCGGATTCTTTTTGTCAGCGTTTCAAGAAGTAGATAAGTACAATACAGAACCAGCACTACAACATTTCGGTAACTAAATAACCATAACGTTTCGGTAATTTCCAGACACTTTCAATAACTGAACAGCCTCTAAACAGCGATCCTGTTCCCAGTGATAAATATTGACATATTGATTGGTTACGCCCTCTTCAGGTGTGGTATCACTGATAACAAGACCGCTGTTTACATCGTAACATGTTAGTAAATATTGACATATTGTTTGGTTACGCCCTCTTCTGGTGTGATACTAACACGTTACGATGTAAACAGCGGTCTTGTTTACATTGATAAATATTGACATATCGATTGGTTACACCCTCTTCAGGTGTGGTACTACCATGTTACGATGTAAACAGCGGTCTTGTTATCAGTGATAAATATTGACATATTGTTTGGTTACGTACCACACCTGAAGAGGGCCTAACATGTTACGATGTAAACAGCGGTCTTGTTATCAGTGATAAATATTGACATATTGTTTGGTTACGCCCTCTTCTGGTGTGGTACTAACACGTTACGATGTAAACAGCGGTCCTGTTCTCATTGATAAATATTGACATATTGTTTGGTTACACCCTCCTCAGGTGTGGTACTAACATGTTACGATGTAAACAGCGGTCTTGTTATCAGTGATAAATATTGACATATTGTTTGGTTACGCCCTCTTCTGGTGTGGTACTAACACGTTACGATGTAAACAGCGGTCCTGTTATCAGTGATAAATATTGACATATTGATTGGTTACGCCCTCTTCAGGTGTGGTACTACCATGTTACGATGTAAATAGCGGTCCTGTTCTCATTGATAAATATTGACATATTGTTTAGTTACACCCTCTTCAGGTGTGGTACTAACATGTTACGATGTAAACAGCGGTCTTGTTTACATTGATAAATATTGACATATTGTTTAGTTACACCCTCTTCAGGTGTGGTACTAACATGTTACAATGTAAACAGCGGTCCTGTCCTTATTGATAAATATTGACATATTGTTTAGTTACGCCCTCTTAACGTGTATACAACAAACCCTATTCGTGTGTGGCGCTATTCACTGAAATTTGTTTTTTACAGGGACGCCCTGCTTACCAGTGCTGTGAACTGCGCGACCAGCTTCTTGGCTGGGTTTGTAATTTTCTCTGTGCTTGGATACATGGCTGGTCAACTGAATGTGGAAGTGAAGGATGTGGCGGCAGACGGTAATTCTGCTTCTTTAATTTCCTCAAACACTTCAAACCTAGCTACACGTATACTTTATTGCCATATTACACTTCTTCAAAAAAAAAAAACTCTCGACTTTTTCTCAAATCTTAATGCCCCACTGAAGAATAAAAGAATAATACAGGTATTTAAAAACAATTCAAGAATATTTTTGTTGTTCGAGATCCTACGCTTTTGCCAACTCTGCTAATTTTTTTAATCGTTTAAGACCCGGCATTTAAGGTGGTCACGTGTAATTTAAACGTTAAATCATTGGTTTAAAATTATAATCATACTTGTCCTAAGATTGGTTTAGTAGAGAATAATGAAAGGGGAACTGTATTTTTGATTAGGCCCAGGACTTGTTTTCATCGTATATCCCGAAGCCATTGCCCTGATGCCAGGATCAACATTTTGGTCGGTTATTTTTTTCCTAATGCTACTCACACTGGGTCTGGACAGTTCGGTAAGTCTGATTTTTTTATATAATAGCATCAGATTAGTAGCGAATGTTTAGAAAGAAAAAAAAAAGGAGATTTTCTCGAATGAGCTTTAGAATTAGCGTTGTGACCATCCTGTTTCCGGTAGTCAATGTTTGGCCCAGCTTGTTGTTCTATTAGTCTCCTAACGACACAAACAAGAAGACTGTTTAAATAAACGAGTAATTACGAACGTAATGTTTTTTTGTTTTTTTCTCATTCCGTCATTGTCCAATTATCAACTGTTGTATTTACCACGTGTCTGTGTACGTTTTTATTTTAAACCCTTTAATTTTTTGTGTACTAAGCCTTATTGTGTTATTCGTTTCAGTTCGGAGGCTCAGAAGCCATTATTACAGCTCTAAGTGACGAATATCCAATCATCAAACGGAACAGAGAAATATTTGTCGCCTGCTTATTTTCGTTCTACTACCTGATCGGGTTGGCCAGCTGTGCACAGGTACCGACATCTAGTGACATTTTTACACATTATAAAAGATAAATCAATGTTGTTTAGGTAAATACAACGTAACTGATTTGTTAAACTTAAAAATTTGTTTTGAAATGTTATTAAAAAAATCTAGAAATATTACAATAATTCCACAAGAAGAACAAACCTCCATGCAACAATCGTTTAAACATCCAACTGTGGTGTCGAGAAAAAATAATTAAAGATAAAAACTTTATTGTAAAAGTTTAAGTGTTATAGTATTTTGGCACTTATGTATAAAGTTAAAATCATAAATAATATTCAACGTTAAACTGGTACACAATTAAAAATAATTTATTTAGGCCTATCTATTGCTTTCAAAAAAAGTTGAGGATGACGTTGTAACGTCGAAACATGTAGAGTCGTCAACTTTTTGAAGGCCATAGATAGGCCTAAGTAAAATGTTTTTAATTGTGTACCAGTTTAACGTTGAATATTATTTATGATTTTAAGTTTAACTGTTCTTGAATAAACAACTTTATAACGATGACGTCACATTTATTATAATAAAAAAAAAGATTATTTACTGAGGTAAGATAATTTGATTGTTTATAGTTCAGGATGAAAACAAATCACATCTATAAGGTAGTGGATTACACTATACTATATTCCTCATTATGTAGTTCTACTGTAATAGTTAGAACAGATTACAATACAGGGAATAATACAACGAACCTAAATCGTACGCTAATAATTGGGTATTCAGATATAAAAGTTTCTTACGATTCGGAAGAGCAAACTTCCAGGTGTGAGATGTTTTCTCATTGTAAATAAACCACAGTCGTGGGGATTTTAAAACACAATGATATTTCAAATAATTTACAAATAAACTCGATGTTTACAGGGTGGTGGTTATGTTGTGTCTCTACTTGATCGTTACGCTGCTGGATATCAAATAAACTTGATGTTTACAGGGTGGTGGTTATGTTGTGTCTCTACTTGATCGTTACGCTGCTGGATATCAAATAAACTTGATGTTTACAGGGTGGTGGTTATGTTGTGTCTCTACTTGATCGTTACGCTGCTGGATATTCCATTCTATTCGCTGTTTTCTTTGAAGCCCTTGCAGTGTCTTGGATTTACGGTAGGTGTAGTGTAATATTACAATACCTTAAACTTACACCACGTCTAGAATAATGTTACACAACCTTAAACTTACACCACGTCTAGAGTAGTGTTAAAATACCTTAACTTACACTACGTCTGGAGTAGTGTTACACAACCTTAAACTTACACCACGTCTGAAGTAATGTTACACAACCTTAAACTTACACCACGTCTAGAGAAGTGTTAC